TTTAACATTTTTATGCCATTTACCTATACTACCGACGTTTTTTAACATTTTTATTGCCCTTAGTTACAACCCGGCTCTCAGGGGAAGTATACGGAGCTTCAGCTAAGGTACATCAGAATCACACCCAGTTTGGTAATGAAATATCGGAGGATATAGTATCTTGCTTTAATTTGTATTGTAAATGTGTAGAAAGGACTGACTTTATATAAGAAAAACAAACACAAACCAAGGAATGGGGGCGCGATGGGTGCTGTCCAAAGATACAAAAACAGATATAACAAACAAGAGGATCTTTTATATGAGCTAATGGCACAAGGCAAAGTTATCCATCTGTGAAACGTTAAAAGGAAAAAATGCAAACTGGCTACCAAGGCGACTAAAGGAACCAAAAGATTACACTGATATAACAGAGCACCCCTGCACCTAGTGTTTCTTAACGAATACCAAAATCGCTACTTAGCAAGATAAACCGGCAAAAATCTAGTGGCATCAGTTAGATCTAAAACCTGACGCCCCACTTCCAGGCTTCAATAACAATTATTTAGCCAATAGTCATAAACAGACTGTCGCACAGCATAAACGACCGACTCATGCTAAATACCGAAATGTTCTTTCAACAAAGAGGCGAGCTGCCACTAATAGTCAGCTGGCCTACGACTGACAGACGGGCCGAGCTTTACTAGCTGCGGTGGTCCTGTGGCCCTCGGCAGGGATCTGGCCATGCTGCAGCACATGAAAACGCTTCCATCATATCAGATGCTAGAGAGTGGTCCTGGAGTGAGGATCTGGCGTGACAGGGATACAGGACCGCTCCGGCAGGCACGCCTGGCAAACAGAATGATTAAGCACAACAAACGAGGCCAGAGTAGCCGGCCCGGTAACACGTTACCTATAACTACATACGTTTTAACTATTTTTATTCAATCATACTATCCTTAGACTTTTTAACATTTTATGCCTTACTGAACTATGGAGCGTTTTTAAACATTTTATGCTCATACTGATAGTAGTTAGTATGAGGTTTTTTGCCTTACTATACTATGACGTTTTTTAACATTTTTATGCCTTACTATACTATGACGTTTTTTAACATTTTTATGCCTTACTATACTATGACGATTTATGTAATTTTCATACCATACTATACCATGACATTTGATGCCCTACTACTTTTTTTTGACATTTTTATGCCTTACTATACTATGATGTTTTTTTAGAATATTTTCATGCCTTACTATACTATGATATTTTTTTTAAATATTTTTATGCCTTACTATACTATGATGTTTTTTGACATTTTTATGCCTTACTGTATTATGACGTTTTTTATATTTTTTTGCCGTACTATACTATGAAGTTTTTTTATATTTTCATGCCTTACTATACTGTGACATTTTTTGACATTTCTATGCCTTACTATACTATGACGTTTTTTGCCTTACTTTACTATGACATTTTTTTTAAAACATTTTTATGCCTTACTGTACTATGAAGTTTTTTGCCTTACTATATTATGATGTTTTTTGACATTTTTATGCCTTACTGTACTATGACGTTTTATGCCTTACTATACTGTGACGTTTTTGACATTTTTATGCCTTACTATACTATGACGTTTTGACATTTTTATGCCTTACTATACTATAACGTTTTATGTAATTTTTATGCCATACTATACCATGACATTTGATGCCTTACTTTACTATGACTTTTTTTGACATTTTTATGCCTTACTATACTATGATATTTTTTTTAAACATTTTATACCTTATTTTTATGCCTTACTGTACTATGACTTTTTTTAAATTTTTTTATGCCTTACTATACTATGATGTTTTTTGATATTTTTATGCCTTACTATACTATGACGTTTTTTACCTTACTATACTGTGACGTTTTTTTTAAACATTTTTATGCTTTACTATACTATGAAGTTTTTTGCCTTACTATACTATGATGTTTTTTGATATTTTTATGCCTTACTATACTATGACGTTTTTTACCTTACTATACTGTGACGTTTTTTTTAAACATTTTTATGCTTTACTATACTATGAAGTTTTTTGCCTTACTATACTATGATGTTTTTTGACATTTTTATGCCTTACTCTACTATGACGTTTTATGCCTTACTATACTATTTCGTTTTTTAACATTTTTATGCCTTACTATACTATGACGTTTTTGACATTTTTATGCCTTACTATACTATGACGTTTTTTGCCTTACTATAATATTACGTTTTTTAACATTTTTATGCCTTACTATACTATGACGTTTTTAAAATTTTTATGCCATACTATACCATGACATTTAATGCCTTACTTTACTGTGACTTTTTTTGACATTTTTATGCCTTACTATACTATGATGTTTTTTTAAAACATTTTTATGCCTTACTATACTATGATGTTTTTTGACATTTCTATGCCTTACTGTACTATGATGTTTTTTTTTTTTTTTTGCCATACTATACTATGACGTTTTTTTAATATTTTCATGCCTTACTATAGTGTGACATTTTTTGACATTTCTATGCCTTACTATACTATAACATTTTTTGATATTTTTAAGCCTTACTATACTATGACGTTTTTTGATATTTTTATGCCTTAGTATACTATGATGTTTTTTTAATATTTTTATGCCTTACTATACTATGACGTTTTTTGATATTTTTATGCCTTACTATACTATGACGTTTTTAAAATATTTTTATGCCTTACTATACTATGATCTTTTTAAAATATTTTTATGCCTTACTATACTATGACGTTTTTTTTATATTTTTATGCCTTACTATACTATGACATGTGATGTTTTACTATACTAAGTTTTTTTGACATTTTATATTTTGTAATACCGTGATGTTTTTTGCCATTTTTATGCCTTACTATACTATGACACTTTAAAGCCAAATCATAATATGAAGTTTTTTGTTATTTTCATGCCTTGATATACTATGCTTTTTTCACATATTTATGCCTTACTATACTATAACATTTTTGTAAAAAAATTTGCCTTACTATATTTTACTTATTATATTTTACTTACTATACTATACCCTTATAAAGACTGGTTAACACCAAAAAATCTATTGAAAGATCAAGAGAATCACATTGGAATGAGGGTCACAGAGTCTGGCAAGTTTTAGCCATCAGAAAATATGGCCTTACTGTATGAGAAAATAAACAAATAAATAAAGATATTTTGATTACAAGGCCCTGCAGCCAACTAACTGAGAGCAGAGAGCACAGGATGGAGTATAGTTTTGAATTTGAGGGCCTTTGCCGCCCCCCTTGTTAGCAAAACAACCAAACTCTTCTTAACTTGCCATCCCCCTTTCCATCCCCTAGCAGCAGAGAGAGTGCTGCTGTCCTTGGTGCTGAAGTAAAAGACAGATTTGTAATTATACCTTTATTTCTCAGAATGTTAAAATGGCAGTAATGTCAAATCCATCTGCTTCTACTTTTTCTATTGAGCCTGTTTTCATCTCCTCTCCCAAAAAGATCTGCCACTCCTCCCCTGACTGCATCTCAGTCAGCTCAGTCCATTAAAAAATCTCATGCACAGTCACAAAGTCATATTTGTCATGTGAATTTTGTGTGTGTGAAATCAACAGCTGGTTTTACTTTACCAGTTCAAGGCTTGGCCAGCAGATGGTAGTGCAAGACTGTGCACATCTTCAGCACAATACAATTTTATATACAGAGATTGCAAACTACATGAGAGCTAATAACAATTGTGTAGTAAACTAATGATATCCAAAATATTCCACACTTTTTACTTACATGTATATGTTTTTTTGTTTTATTGATTGTGCCTCTATCTTCATGATGCATCCGTAATCAGTATTTGTTTTTTATTCTATTTTTCTATAAATTTGTTTCCCTTTGTAGAGATCAAGAGCAGTGGGCAACGGTGATGAAAAATAATGGTAAAAACTACAGTGACAGCAGTGAATTTAGTTCTTAGATAATAATGGGGCACAGATATGTGTTCAGTGAAGGGCAGTGAAATGAAGAGTCTGTAATCTCAGAACACATACATATAAACTCTGTGTAGATCATTATTTTAGATAGGGATATAGTATCTCAAAAAGATGCCATCAGTATTGTCTAATTCTGAAAAGCACTGATGCTCTGTAAAGACTTCTCCCCAGTTATAGTTCAATCCATAAACATTCTGCAGCCCTTTTGTTCTGGATTCACTGAATTTACTAGCAACGTCTAAGAGCAACAAACTATTGGTTGGACAAGTCCACAGAGTTAAATCTTTTATGGGTCTCACCCAGCACCGTTTCCTCACTGTCCTTTTATAATGTAAATCTTTTGTGGGGCAGGAAGTTAGAGGTCAGAGGTCACCTACATAATAACCTCCTGGATCTGGCAGATATTCAGCATGCACCTCAGCAGACAACACAACCTTGAACTCAAGCAGAAGGACATCAACACACCACCCTGCTGTAAACTTACTGAAGATATCATTTATGTTATTCCCACGTAATTTATCAATATTATTTTGTATCGAAAATCAGTGCTCTTCCGTGCATTGTAAAGCATCTTTGCTGAACTGGGTTTATTAATATCTTTTTGTCCTGGTGTGGCCTCATCAGTCTATCTGGGACCAGCCAATAATTTGCCAGTGAAGGCAGCCATCCATGCACACACACACACACTCACACACTTGGACGTCACAATCATTGTTGTATAAGGCTGCTGACGCATGAAAGGTGGTTAAAGTCCATTCGCCACTAATGTGGGACGTCTGGCAGAGGTCAGTACCTCAGGCCTCTTCCAACCAGGACTAGTAAATGTTTACCATTTGATCTTCATTCCTTACATTTTTAAATTTACTCTCTAACTTAAAAAATGCTTTGATGTGCTTATTTTCCGCAGATGCTGGATATTCACTGCCAATGTTAAAAGAAGATGAACCTGCATAATTCAGACTACAAGAAAAACCAATAGAATGAAGCCTTAACCAGTTTTTAAGGTGTAATAAAGTTAAACTTTTATTGCAAACTGAACATGGTCACATAAATCTTAAACAATTTTACAATTTACAGTACATTTAACATGAATTGTTACATATACATATTTAAGCATACCTTTAGTCGTTTTTTGTTCAATATACATTAAAACTAGTACACATAACTCCAAATATACAAACAAACTTAAATACCATCAAACTGCATTACAGCAATATTAAAATGGAATGTTCAGTTTCAATGTAGTCAGCCTGTCAGCAGGCCGCCGTTACATTACTGTGAGGCGAATGGAAGACTATATGAGGGGGACACAGTTGGCAAGCAGAACTACACAAACACCTCTGAACACGTTACTGTCTTTCTCACCTAGCAGCAGTGCTCTCTCTCTCTCTCTCTGTCTCTCTCTATCAGCATTACCGTTATTGTTTTATGTGCAAATGAAAGATATGAAACATCAGTTGAGTTCCTACATCTCACGTGTTAAAGACAGAGGAGGAGTATAAAATTTAGTGCTACATCATTCCTCTCTGGTGACTTAAAAAAAAAAAAAAAAACCCAACGAGTGAAACTGTGACATTAAGGTTTGACACAGACAAACCCAAAAGAGTTCTGATGGAGAGAAGGGAAGAAAAATAAAGGCACCTTTGAGAGAAATAAAAACGTCCCCCTCTGTAACATTCAGCTTCAAATGACTCCCTTTTCAAACATGCAGAAAGGAAATAAGAAGAAACTAAAGCACCAAAATGAATGTCATCTCCGAGCTACTCGTTCAGACTCAACACGCAGGTCCCCATGGGTGGTAGACAGAATCTTAAAAGAGAGAAGATGTTTCGCTACACAGATGAAGATGGAATTCCTTTTCAGGGCTGGTACAGTACGGCCCAGCCTTCCTCTTTTGAGAAAAGGTGGAAGTTGGTGTGTGTGTGTGCTTGTCAGTTGTGGCTTCAGGGTCGGAAGGGGGGTGGGGGGGTGGGGGGGGCTTTTAAGCTGCCTGAGCTATGTGCAAAGGACCTCCACTATCAGGTTACAGATGAGCAATCAAAGGCTGAAGAGGGATCTTGGTTTGTGTCTGCTGTGGAAGGTTGAAGAATTTGTGCGTTGGTAAATTGTGGTAAAATGGAGGATTACAACCCCAATAAGTCCTTTTAATGTCAGGCATCCTCTTGTAGCAAGTCTTCTTAAATGTATTTAAGAGTTGGAGAGATTGTGGAAAGTGCACATGTATAAACTTTTGTAGATGCAGAGTTGTTGCAGGGGTTGGTTCGAAAATATCCATCAATCCTGATGGGAAATGTAGGGGGTGGGGTCAAGATGCAGATCCATGGACATGTCAAGGTTCATGTCCTGTAAGTCTAAACTGGTGTCCATTGAGTGTCTGTGTTTAAATCCTATAGGTAAGAGTCCATAGAAGGGGCATAGGAGAAGCCCACAAAGGCCTCGGCTGCCTCTTTGATGCTGGCTGTGACAAGTGCACTGTCTGGGGAGCAGCCAATGGAGCTGGGCACCGGCTCATCTGTGAACTCTGGATCAAAGTGCCGCAGGTCATTGGGTCCCGTCTGGGGGCAGAGGGGGGTAATGGAAGAGGGAGACAACAGGGGATTAGTCTGGCTGTAAAAATACCGAGCCATAATTGGAAATGTTTTAATTCGCTGCGTGCATGCTACAAATACTGAGAGCTGAGGAAAGAGGGAGACTATAATGTAGAAAATCCTAAATCTGCCATCGTCAGCACTTATTTGAGTATTAAAATGGAACATACCACGTTGGGGTTGAAGGGAGGGGTGATCTTCTTTGAATTGAGGTCATCCCAGTTGATGGGGGAGAAGAATATGTGGTTCTTAATTTCAATCTGGAAAAGAGCAGAGAAACAAACAATTAAAGGATGGGCTTTAACAGAGATAATGTGTAAAAAAAACAAAAAAACAAAAAAACATCTACACACACATATGGAATCACATAATCAAACACTTACAAAGTCTTCTGTGCAGCCCAGCCTCTTGGTCCGGTCCTTCTGCAGCAGGCCCTCCAGCAAGTGTCTGGCTGCGTTGGAAATGTTGGGTTTCAGCTGCAGTGGCTTGTTCAGGATGTTGTCGTACATCTCAGCTGTGTTACGGCTATAGAACGGAGGCTGAGGAGGGACAAAAGGAAATGATTCAGATCTCAGGAATCCACATGACAAAACACTGATTATATCATTTTAAATCACGCATAGATTCTTGTGCCAACATGCGGAACATAAATGATGTCAAAGAACTGTACCTTTGTTATTCACAGTGTACAGTAGAACTCAATATTATACTATAAGCTGTATTTATAATGTTATGAAGAAGATATTGAGGGTGGGATGTAAGTTTACAATAAAATGATGTAGTGTGAATGTTACTCACCAGGCCATAGAGCATCTCATAGAGAACAGCTCCTAAACACCACCAGTCTACTGTCCTGTCATACGGCTGCTTGTGTAGCACCTCAGGAGCTAAATACTGCAGGGGGGGGGCAAAGACAGGGAGAAGTGGTGAGCGTTGCATACTGAATGTTACAGAGTGCTGTCAAAAGACCGAAACAGTAGGAGTCAGCATCACTGGAGAATTCATCCTTACCTCTGGCGTACCGCAGAAGGTCGACGTGGTCCCGTTGGGTTCGATGTTCTCTTTGCACAGGCCGAAATCTGTGAGGATGATGTGTCCCTCGGAGTCCAACAGGATGTTCTCTGGCTTCAGGTCTCTGTAGACAATGTTGAGGGAGTGGAGGTAGCCCAGAGCGCTGGCAATCTCTGCAGCGTAGAACCTGGCTCTGGGCTCAAGGAAGCAGCGCTCTCTCTGTAGGTGGTAGAACAGCTGGAAGAAAGAGAAAAACACAGGAAAGCAAGGGTTATTCATGAGTGTATAATTTTTCCTCATGGTTAATCTACAGAGGCTGTGAAGCTGCAGGGACAGAGACGTGTGCAGAGATAGGAAATTAGTACAAGAGAGGCCAGTAATAAAGGGACAGATACAGAGACAGAAAGGAAACTAGATGGGAGGAAATAAAGAGGCAGGAAGGAGACGGCTTCAAAAGTTTGACAGGGGAGGACGGATGACATGAGGGCCAGAGGTGGAGTGAGAGAGCAGTAGGATGGAGAGAAAAAAGAGGGGAAGAAAAGAGAAAGGGGAGAAGGAGAGTAAATGTGTCCTGTTTCCTGATAAGGCCCCATATTTAATCAGCACTGTCTTTGCTCGTCCAACAATCGCAGGAAATTAGCTCGATTAGACACACACTGAGTCTGAATGGCGCTGCTAATTTTGGCCCCCCGAGTCTCTCCCGCTGTCCCAGCCCACCCCATGATTTCCTGAGAGGTGTTTCCTTTAGTGAAAGAGAGACAGAAAAAAAGAGACAAGAGAGCGACAGCCTCTGTTCTGCTTCTCATGACAGGAAATCCCCCCCTTGTCTGTCTCTGACACTGCCTCATCTTCATGTCTGATTATCATTCTGAATTAACAGGTTGTGTCCACTACCTCCCTTCCCCTTTTTTCTTTCAGCTCTATCCACCGTAAGTTTTCCCCTCTTTCCTCGTTCAATCAACTTCCTTCTTTAAATAGCTCAGCTCCTCCCTTCTCCTCTTTCCATCTCTCTCCTCTTTCTTTTCGGGCAGCAGTTCAGCAAGTGACTCACCTCGCCTCCATTGATGTAGTCCAGGATGAAGTAGAGTTTATCTGCCGTTTGGAAAGAATAGTGCAGACCCACCAAGAACGGGTGCTTGACATTCTTTAGCAGCACATTCCTCTCTGACATGATGTGTTTCTCCTGAGGTAACACAAAGAGCAAGGGTTGGACATGTTGACCAGAAGAGGCCTTTTCGTATGAGCTCATCTGAGTGTGTGTTTCCAGTGTGAGTGCCTTGTGTGCAAGTGCATTTACCTCCTTCTTCTTGAGAATGGCCTTTTTCTGTAAGACTTTGACCGCGTAGAACTGGTCATCGGCGCGGTGGCGTGCCAGCAGGACCTTGCCGAAGCTGCCCTTGCCGATCACCTTGAGGAAGTGAAAGTCGCTGGGTTTGGCTGAAGGGTTGGAGGATGGACCGAGGTTGATCTGTTGGGATGGACTGGGCTGTGAGAGGGGGAGCAAGGGAGAAAAGGATGGGGGGAGTTAGAGCCATAACACAACTCCAAAATGCATGGTAAACATGTTAAGCGAGGTAACGTTTGTGCATCTCTGCATATGTCAAAGTGTACAAAACAACAACAAAAGGAAGAAGCACATAATTCAATGTTTAATTCAAATATACTTACAGGAGGAGAGGGGTTTGCGTTCATGAGTTCGGCATCCTGAGGAGGACTTAAGTTCAGAATAGACTGAACCTCAGGACTGAAAAAAAACAAAGAAATAAAACTTAGTACATCTACTGGAAAGCATCAAAAAGATCCTCCTTTGTGTGTGTGTGTGTTTTTTTTTTTTTTTTTTCAAAATGTAAATTAGCTGATCTGGGAGTCACATGAAGTCACAAAGTTTCTCCAGAGGACAGACAACTGGCATTTCTGCTTGTGTTTCCCAGTGCTGTGTCCAGTGGTGAATGCAGAACAATAACATGAGTCAGATGGTACTCACTGCTTGCAGGCGTAGGAGTTTGTGGCAAGCCTCTGAATGAAGTCGTTCAGACCCATCCTCCTCTGTTTCATGAAAGCTGCAAAGCAAAGGAGAAAAATGGGAGAAAAAAAAAAGAATATTTAGATTTTTAAACAAAAAAGCAAAAAGCTGCCAATCCATGTCATGAAGAATCAGCTTAAAGTATCCAGTTGTGACTCCATACCGGTGACTAAAGCCACTAGCCCTCTGGATTTCGAGTAAGTCAGGACAGGCTTCTCTGTTTCTGTCTTGATCGTCATGATGTGATGAGTTAAACAGACACTCTGCACTCATCAACTGGCCAAAGTCAAAATATAACTAACTTGCTTTTGGCTCTTGTTTTATAACAGGCCAGGAGGAGGAGGAGGAGGGCGGAGCTGCCCTCCTCCCCCCATACGCCACCTCCACCCCCCTCCAACCTCCCTCCCGGTGGGCGTAATCCCTTGCAAACATTTCACTCCGGTAAATGGGCCACGAGAGGGTGAGCGATCCCGCTCTCGACCAATCAGAGGCCGTTGCGCTCCCTGCGCGTCACAGCCGCACCTCAAGATGTGCTTGCGTCAAAAAACATAGGAGGAAAAAAAGAGTCATTTACCACAAGGCTGGCTTGTACTATTTGCACATATGTTTGTGCAATACCATAGCAACTTTGCTTAACGTCCCGTGTGTCATACAGTCTGAAATTGTCACCAAGGCAGCACATTTCCAGCTGCAGAAACAAATCTTATAGACTAATGGCACCCAGCTGTGTCCACTAGGTTAACATATGGTGCCACTTAATGTTCCAGGGCTACAGAGTAAATGTGCACATGAAGTGAAACTGCTCAAGAGAGACTCGGCTTCATTCTCCAAGCTGCTGATTATTTTTGTCACAGTTGTATCCATACTCCCCTGCCTAACCCCCCCTGAGTCTGCAAGTAGGTCCTGTACAAATAATCTGATAGTCTCCTAACTAGGCCTATCAGCTTAACTGTTTGGCTGCCTCTCAATTAAAAAACAGCCGGGAGTGACGCAGGTTATACAAAAGACGAGAGGGAGAGCCTGAGCCGAGGGAGGCCAGATGCCAAGAAAAGCCGCCGGTAGTGGAAAAGTACAGACTGAGAAACTCCTTACCCGAATACATCCAGCATCCAGAGAGAGAGAGAAAAAAGAAGAAGAAGAAGAAAGAGCTCAGATCCACAATCTGTTATAACCGGTAAGCCTCTCAGGGGGGGGAAGCCAAAACACTTCAATGTGATGTTCAAAAAATGAAATTCTACGGGGAAAATGCCACCCTGCGCTGCGTTTTGGCCGCTGGCACGCAGAGGACCAGACGGGATCAGTTAGGCACGGTTATGTAAGGCACCTGGTTCAAGTTTTATCAACACCCCTCAGTGGAATGAGAGTATGTAAGGCGATATCACCTGTGAAGGCCAAAGGAAATCCAATGAAACAGGGCAGTGTTAACCGTGAGTAAAAAGAAGGAGTGAATCCGCGTAAAAAAGTCCCACATGAAGCAACACTTAATTGGGAAAAAAAAGCAAGTCTGGACAATGTAAGCAAACAGCTGTACAAAACAGTACAATATAGGTAAACTGTTGCATCATGCAAACTGCATTATCACAAAAAAAACTTATGTAAAATCAGAACAGATGTTTGTAAATCTTGTCTCAATCGTCTATTCTACACCGAAAAGCCACATCAGATTCCGTTTCCACGGGAAACAAACAAACCTTTCAGGTCTGAGGGAGTTCTCATTTTTGACTGCCCGCGGCTCCAGAGTTCAACTAGTTGCAAACTGGAGCTGCCAACGTTTCTCTGGCACTTTTAAACAGAGCCCCTATCAGCGAGGCATTTCCAGCATAGATAGCAGCATCATAAATCCAGGTCACGGGATTATGGGGTGAATGGATGGAGCACCCCCCCCCCCCCTCCCCAAGTATGTCTGCCAGGGCTTTCTTCCCAGCCACACAGACACTCCACAGACACACAAAGTGGGTTAACAGCTATGCTTACGAAAGAAACTATAAATATCACAATAGGCCGGTTACTGCACAAACACCATTGAGTCTCATAATAAGACCATTAGTTTCCCATAGGAGTATCATAGGAGTGCTATAAAGATTTCTTGGATAGATCTATCGATGTTGCTTTCAAATACAATGCATACTACTTACACGTCAAAGCGGTCGTTTTGTCTTTCATAAGGATGCTTTATGTCCCGAATCACAACAAGGAGAGAGGGGCTATAGGTTCTTCGGCTGGGAGGTAATCGAACTACACCGCATTCTTCTTCTTGGTTAGTTTCATCAAGCAATTTTTTTTTTTCTTACTGTTCAGGGCGGAGACGTCCCGCCTCTATTTCCTTCCAGTTTTGTGTTTCACGCATGGTTGGTTGAGTTTTCCTCAGGGCGGGGGATATGCTGCCTTCAAATGCTCCTCATGAGCTCCTACTTTCGGCATTGGAAATTTTGCAATAAACTTTTATCACAAATAAACAAAAGAAACAAACAGTAGGTTTATGTATTTAATTCTGCAGCCACACCCCCCTCCCCCCGCATGAACATGGATGAACTGGTATAAGCTCATGAAACTGATGGATTTTTGAGCCCGATATTATTTTTAGGTGCCTGTAAATTTAAAAGAAGTATTTGAAATGCTGTTCATCCATAACACATAATGCCAATGGACGTCTGTATTATCACACTGGCTCACTATTCAACTGTATTTCACTTGAAACTGCACTTTTCTTTAACTGTGACATTTCAGCATCACACAAAGGTAAAACTGGCTCATGCGACCACTTGGGTTGTTAAAATTCCCTCTTTTACAAATCGTTTCTTATTCACTGGCTGGCATGTAGTTTTTCCCCACTATGGCCACCCACTGAGGGAATTAAAAAATTCATAGTGTTCACATTAATTCAGGAGTTAGGAGTTTGAAGTTGGGGTCATATTACCCCTGTCTCTTGATGAATTGCTCCCCCAACTATTTGTGCATGTGTATACACCCAGGTATTTGGCATATTTTAATTCATTTTAGTCACAGTCTGCTTCTATATTTTTTTTGTATGTTTTATTTGCAGTTTTATTATGTTTTTTTGTATGTAAAATTTCATTTTATGGGTATTTATTTCCTGTGTTTTTTTTATTAGGATTTTTACAGATGAATAAACTGAACCTTTGAAACTTTGAGTTTCACTTTGAGAGTGTTTTCAGCTGGAATATAATTTTTTTTTTTCAAAAAAAACCTTTACTTATTCTGGAAAGTTTCACTCATTTTCAGGAATTACCTTGAGTACACTTACACAGTTGCACCCATTCACCCCAAAAGCTGACCAGCTGCCCAGTACAACCACAATTTGATCCACTGGCCACCAAGCAGGAGCAGTGGGGGGGGGGTGGGGCGGGGGGGGTTATTGGCCTTGCTCAAGGTTACCTCTGTGGTGTTACTAAGGGTGCAAATGCTGCTTCTTCATTTTCCCCATCAAGATTTATCCGGCCTGTCTGTCTGTGTTCAAACCGGCAATCACAAATTCAAAGGTAAGCGAGTGTGTGAAAATGAAGGCTATGCTTTTGTGCGACAGCTACCCCGAGTGCAATCGTTATTACACTGCGGAAGCGCAGAGACAAAGACAAGCAGCGATTAAGACTCATCCACAAATTATATAGAGTCAAGAAGATGGCTGTGGCTGTGTGTGTGTGTGAGAGAGAGAGAGTGTGTGTATTCTTTTGTTCCTGACCCCCGGCCTCTTTGAGAAAATCATTGTGTGGCTGCATGTATGACTTTGCAGTTTTTAAATATAGCATCCACTCTTTACTGCTGTCTCTGTTTCTCCCTTAACTCAGGTCAAATCTATTATTAATCTGTCCCCCACAGCCACCTGATGCACACACATTTTCACACATGCACACACACACACACACACACACACACATACACACATACAGAGAGCTGGAGGGCAAAACAAACTTTGCAGGGAGACTGACAGAACACACACACATACACACACACACACACACACACACACACACACACACACACAGACACACACACACTTTCTAAAATAGAGCGAGAAAGGGCACATCAGGTACTTCCTATGTTCCCTCAAGGTGTCCAACACACCCCTCCCTCACTGAAATGCCAAGAACCTCACGCAGTTGGTTAGAAAAAGAGATTTCTCCTTGAGACAGCACAGGTTGCGGCGATAAAGTACCATCCATCAGTGTGCATTTATTACCTAGTAGCAGTAGCAGTCCGTGTGAGACACAAACCGACATCCGTTATTAGCACTTGAAAGTATCACGAGCCAAACAAGTGAGAGCTTGCAGGTCACATATTGCCTCCTCAAAAGAGAGCAGTAAGAACATAAGGAAAGTGTGCAAAAAGTGTCGACCTTGAAAACCTGACATAAAGAGCTAAAAAAAAAAAAAAATGTAGTGGTGAATGCTTTAAAAAAAATTGTTACGTTACCTCCAAAGGAGTGTAAGCACTGCTCTTGTGTCTGCATCTGTGGTCATAGCCCAGAGTTGAATGAAATGAGAGAGAGGTGTTGAGAGAATATGAGGAGAGAGGAAGAAAGAGAGAGAGAGAGCAAGAGAGAGAGGGAGAAATACTAACAAAAGCTCCACACAGTGTTTTTCCTTTCTGGCCCTCTTCCCCCTCTGAATTTACAGGCAGCTCGAGGCTCGGACCACGAACAAGAGGAGGCTCCACAATACTCAAGCTGTGTGTTTACTGCCTTTCTATGTCTGTGTGTGCGTGTGTGTGTGTGTATGTGAGACACTTGTACGTTATGTAACCCCCCTGTGGCACTGTCATCATTGCCAAAGCCAGCATTGACTCACACACACACACACACACACACACACACACACCCCGGGGATCATTTGATGAAAGGACAGGAAGGGTTTCACTGCAGCGTCAGAGGAGTTGAGGTGCAGGATATTAAAGTTGAAGTAAAAACACACACACACACACACACACACACACACACACACACACACACACACACACACACACACACACACTCACACACACATACTCCCTCAGCCCACCCACCTACAACAGCATACCCACACATACACAAAGACCAGCACATGCCCATATTCGCGCTGTCTCCGGCAGTTGACATCCATCCATTAAGTCCGCTCATGTCAGTCATCATTTTCTCTTCCCTCCATCTTGTAATGTCCGTTTTCTGTTCCGGGGATGATGAGTGTGTTTGTGGCTATAGTTGATCTGGGGATGAATGTGAATGAGCCTCGGTGGTGAGGAACCAAATGACACTGTTACATAAAGGCCTCGGCTATTCAGAGAGGACAGCTAGGCTTTTATGTTGCCACTGGATTTGGTGAAGTGTCAGTGTGGGAGTGTGGCCTGGTTGGCTTGCTAGGTTACCAAAAAGTAGGCTACTTATCTGTTCAGCTACCTCATCATTGACCATCACCGTAGTGGTTTGTCAAGGTTCTCTCCGGGTTGATTTTGAAAATTCTGTGAGGAAATAATGTGGCACTTATGAACCCATAAAACAAAGCTTTATAGTGTGATTTAGTTCTGTTGGATTTAAGTCTTTTTGAGGACATTTCATGTATTTATTATTTGAGTTTGCAAAGAGAGGACATTTTGGTGCATCCTCAATTTTTTAGTGGGGTAGTATGGGGGTGAGGATTTAGGCTAGAATTATGAATGTGATGGTCAAAGTTGGGTTTAAGGGACAGGGAGTGCATTATGCCATTTGCAGTCTGAATACAGCACTGTCTCTATTAAAGACGTGCTGTAAGTCTTCATGGTATAATGGAAACAAACATGTTCAAAAAATCCTCTCAAAACTGTCGGAACTGTCTAGGAGTCCTTTATGAATTACATGCATATCTTGGTTGTATTGAATGTGTATGTCTGTGTGTAGGTGTGTTTGCCTGTTTAAGCTCTGAAGGGAAGGTGAGTGATGCGTCATAAATGGTGGGAGAAAAGTGTAAATAACAGCTTCAGACAAGGACCTGTTGATAGTATTTCACTATGTCACTGAGAACAAAAGAGCAAAGAACGTGCACGCACACACACACGCACGCACACACACACACACACTCACACACACACACACACATACAAACTCAGGCTTAGTAATCATGTTATATAAACCTGTTGTCATCTGAGAACGAAGAGCTCACCAACTCAGTGTGTAAATGCTGATTAGCTGTACTGCAGCAAGTTGATGAACATACTAATGTGGTATAATAAGGGTGTCCTCAGCAGATGCTTTGTTACATAAGACCACTCTGTACTTTATCTGAGAGAACAAACACACACGAGGCAGGTTTCTCAAAGATATTTTAAACTCGTCTGAAGTCTTGGGCGAGTCTTGATTTTGCTCTTAGATTAGTCTACTCCAAGTTAGACAGTTTCTCAAAAATAAAGACTTATTTTAGGCCTAAAAAGTGAACCACCTGACCCCACTTTTAACTATGCAATGTTTCCATGGTGATAACCAATAAATCTGCTGACCAGTGGCATCAAATGACAAAAAATAAGCAAAGAACTATGTTGTGGAGAGAGCCATGAGAAGAGTTTTTAGATATGGCAGTAACACCTCGGAAATATTAGTCACCATCAATCGTTTTCTCTTGCACAAGTTAACTACCCTGAGTCAGACTGACAAGGTAGAAAAAGTAGTGAGTCCATTCACAAAGGATCTCAGCTCTGCTACAGGTCTGCACTGTGAAGAGATTTTATTCTGCATCGGGTTTTTGGTGTGAATTCTCACAGCAAAATGTCCTTGCTGCTCTTGAATTCAACCTAAAGTCAAGGATTTTCTACTGGACTGAACTGACCTGTGGCTGGACATGTCAGCCATGTTTTTTTAGTTTGAAAGAAGTCTTAATTTATCCAGAAATAATTGCAAATTAGTCCTACTCATAAGAGTAAAAGAGTAGATACCTCAGTGCAACGGATGGATCTGAAGTCTGACTAGTTAGAACTGAGCCATAGTCAAAGTCTATCTTCTATCTATCGACCAGTTGTTTGCTATTTGTTCCTCTGTATAGAGTCCACTAGCTATAATTATCATTACTGGATCTATACCTTTCTTTCTCTTGCTCTCTGCTGCTCGTTACATCACACACACATATCACTTCATCACTGTAAATCCCTGTGACGTGTGACACTCTTCAACTTAAAAGTGTTTCTGAAGCCACTAATTGCTGAACTTGGAACGACAGGGTGTAGCGGCATCACGGCCGAGGCCACAGGAACAGCTTGTCACCAGCTCGGCTAATTGCTTGAATTTCTCTCGGAAAACTCCCATAATTAACAGGCAGACTACTCCCAGTGAAAAACATTTTCATCAGAATAGGGCTCTTGTCACATTTCTCTCTTGGAGATGTTCCAGCAGACAGCAGGTACCTGCAGCTCTGCCACAAGCACGTCAGCACTTGTACTTTGACTATTTCCATTTCATGTCTATATTTACACATCTTTAGATTTTACATACAAACATATAATGAGATTATATATAATGTGTAGCACTGTCTAATTAAACTAACCAACAGTATATAAAGTAGTTAAAGCTGGCCACACCTCGACCAATTAAAGCAGTAGCATCAACAGTGAAATGCTTATACATTACAATCCCATTATATAATGTATAGTAGCATAACACTCACAAGTGCAACACTAATTTTACTTTTCATATTTTACATACATTTTGCTGATAATAATTATACTTTTACTGAAGTGACATTTTAAATACAGTACTTGTTATGGATGATTTTTATATCCAAGAGTGGAAATGAATGGTTCCTTGTGGAAAAGCAAAACAGCGTAGAAGCACTGCAACGCAATGCATCTTAAATGTTAATTAAATGTAATTTTCTGAGTCCAAAGAAAAACGAAGTTAAAGTTTGTTACTAAAAATTGTGATCTCTCTCACACACACACACACACACACACACACACACACACACACACACACACACATGCACACACATAAAAAGACTCATGAGAAGAGCTCGTGTCTGCAAGATTCCCAGCAAAGGTAAAAGTAGCAACACCGTAGATAGGCTCTGTGCCAAAATGTCACACGCACCCAGATTGTGCCCTTTGGATTGGACCGCGATGTGTGGCAGAAATAATGGGCATGATGGAAAATTAAAGCACAGTTGCTTCCAGTTATGTCATAAACCGATTATGGACTATTGCCCAGTGGCACACATGTAAGCAAGAGACATACACACATGTGTCTGCTGCAGTGAAGCTGTAAACAGAAAAGGTCACCGTGTCATTTATATGATGATCAGTCCTGTGTACTGTGTCTGCAACTACTGTTTTGCTGGTTTCCACAGAAAGAACAACAAATAGTAATCTGGGTTTATGGACAACAGTTATTATCCCGTTTAGAGGTTGGATTAGAGGGCCAAGTGGTGAGGTAAGGTGACGTTACAAAGTGTGTGTATGCAGGCTGAATCATTTTTGCTTCCACAGCCATCAGGTTTGGACGGCAGGGAAATGACAAACAAGAGAAAAACAGACAGAGAATGAATGGTAGAAGATAATTTTGGATTGATGGTAAAAATAAACTAAACTGCAGATAATAAAGAGAAACGATCTGCCAGTGACGGAGGGAGGTGCTGGAGAAAGATAACAGAGGAGGGAGAGTTTGTGCGCCGGAGACACAGTGTGAAAGACGGATTGGAAAAAAGGAGAGACAAGAGGAAGAGGAGGAATACAAAACAACAGGCTTAGTTGATGGTGACTTACTGTTGTCGCCAGGGCAACAGTAGCTGTCTGGGTCTGACTCATTGTGGTAGTACAGGTCCATCGCCTAGGAAAGAAATATGGCATTGCTTAGTAAAAACAACTCAAACACTCAAACCACAAAGACAAGGAAATGAAAATGGAAATACTTTGTTTTGGCCTGGTGATCTACAGATAGTTAAAACAAAATGCCCATGAAACTGTATTCAAGCATACATAAATCACATATTGATGCATCTACACTGACATTAGCGTTTCAGACTGTGAACCCCCGAAAATCCAGTTTTATTTTCTTGTTAGAATTCAGTTGAATGGTGATACAGTTCAGCCCTTAGGATTATAACACCCTTTCAAGTGCCCATCAGATAAACTCAAAAATAAAGGTTCTGGTCCCAACCTAAGGCCTGGAAGCTGTAGGTACAAGGGGACACAAGACAAATCTGAGGGGTCGCTAATTGATTAACAGGACAGGAGAATAGAGACATATTTTTGCTGTGCCAAATTCTGTTTAATTTTCTTCTAATCATTGCTTTTGTTATTTTGATTTACTGGATAAATTTACCCCCTAAAATTATTTGTATCTTTAAACAGTAACACGCCAAAATGGTTGAAAAGCACTGATCTAAGTTGCCTTTTCTTAGCTCTTGACAAGTTTTGGCGTACAGCGACATCACGAGTCATGACCTTTCGGAACAGCAGGAACCTAAATCAGCGTTTCCAAAACCACTGGTTCCCCGACCCAGTTTCAGTCGGTTTCCCATGTGATGTGTTTTAATGAGTTTCCAGGGTGAGACTGCATTCAATCATTTGGGCTCCTGTGCTGAAAGCGGTGAGAAACCTCTGCTCTATAACATGACAATATTGTGCTTTCGTTTCTAACTGACCTAATGGCAGTTTGATCTTACTCAGCTTGGGCCAAGGATTGAACAGGACATCTACTTCATGAACATCACAGTGTGTTTATTTACCTCCTATACCAAGTCATTGTATTTTATAAGCTTATAATATGTTCTTTTTTTAATGTAAAATCTTAATCTGAAAAGTAATGAGTAACTGCAGCTGTTAGCCACTGGCTGAAACATTTCCCTCAACATGTAGAGAAATATAATTATTAATTGCCAGTTAGTTCAAATACTAAGAATCTCAAAACTGTCATTAAATAAAGCACTAAAATAAATGTATGTACTTTCTCTCACTGCCTGTTTAGCCGGGTGTGTGTGTGTTTGTGTGTGAGAGTTGATCTTTGACTCGATTGATTATAAAACTCAATAATCCTCAAACGTGGCTAAACGTATAGAAATGTGCAAGTAAACACAAGTGTACATACTGTATGTCTCAAGAGCAGCTACTTATGTCTGTCCCACTTTAGCTTTTCACATACAGTAACAGTATAATTGGCAGCTGTCATTGGACCAGCAGCATTAGCATCTCAGGACATTCCCATGAAAGTTGCGTTGTCATGTCAGATATGAGTTTTTCGAGATGTCGCTGTCAGTCATCAACTTTTCAAAGTGTCTGTGTTAAATACAGTCTTAGCCTAGTTTGCTATTCCACGCGGCAACTCTGAAAACTTATCGCAGCTCTCAGTATTCTCCCATGAGTGTTTTCTGAGAACAAGACAAGCTGATGCATGCATGTGTGTGTGTGTGTGTGTGTGTGTGTGTGTGTGTGTGCATGAGTTGTTTCAATCTCATCAGTTTGTTTAGTCACTCAGAGATGCTGCCTCCAACAGCCTGCCTATCATGCTGGTCATTTCATCTCTGTATAAGTCTTAATACAACTGACAGTAGCCTCGTCTATCAAATCTTTTTCTCTCAGATACACTCTCACACACACATATATATACATATATTGCTTGCTCTTCATATTCCCTCATACTGTCAATATTTCTCCACAGTCAGAATCACTTTACCATTCATGCCCCTATGTCCTCTCCCTCCGTTTGCCTCACTTCAGTCATGTCCTTCCTCTCTCTTACTTCAGGTTGTTTATTGATTCAGTAAAGAGATCTGATGGAGTAGTATCCATAGTGATGGTGAATCTAGGCTTTCTGTTCATTAATATTTCATGGTGGATTTATTTTTCCAACACAAGACAGAAAGTTTGGGTTGTTCCAGCAGAGGCAAAGAGAGACAGTTGGGGGAATAGTTTTTGTCTTTGTAAGGGTCAAGGAGAGGTAGAGGCCTGCATGACTTGACTGCAAGTCATATGATAAAACTCATTCAACAGTAAAAAGGCTACAAATGTTTTGATTTTAGAGTTAAAGAAATTAGGAACATTTCTCTGGGTGTATCTCCTTGGTTTGTATAATATAAGACAGGGCTGTGTATAATATTAGGTTACTTCAACTAAAGTCATGACATGTTTCCCTCTAACAATTATTTTCATTATTTTGTCAACTGCCAGTTGGTGTTATCATATAATTAAATTAAAGGAGCTATTTGTAAGTTTTGTTATGGCTACATAGCTAACGTTAGCATTACCAGCTGTTTACTTACCAGTCTTGCCAAGAGCTCATTGTATTTACAATACAAGAGGTTATAATACTCCCTCTGAGCAGAGCTACATCTTCAGGGCAGACTGGACGATACAGTGACTTGGTATCGGAAAGTGAAGCAACTAGCTGACTGGGCCGGAGCTAGCTGGTTAGCATGCTAACTTATGTAGGAGAAAAGCAGTGATAGAAATAGAAGCAAAACAAGAGTTGCAGAGACAGCTGTGGAGACAGCTCTTGGCGAGTAAAGGAATTAAGTTGGATGCTGAACTCATAACGTCTCTTCTAAGACTGGTAAGTAAACAGCTGTGAACGCTAACATTGGCTATAGCAAAACTTACAAATAGCTACATTAACCATTTATTGTAAGTCGTTGAGTTGCTTACCCTACATAACCCAGCGAAATAACATCTGTTGTATGTTATAAAAGGATGTTGACGATCCATAATTTCTCTAGAGATTCCCTGAACTAACCTCATCAAGGACACTTGGAAATCCCCTGCTTTGTGATCCACTGATTACTGTGATAAATGAGTGTTTGCTACCTGTAATTTAATTAGCTACAGACAGAATGAACTTGCCTGTGTGCGTTGCCGTGGCTGCCAGATATCCTCCAGGGCATAGCTTATGTAGGGTCCACTGCAGATGGAGCACTCCAGCATGACTGGGCTGGCCAGGATGGGTGAGGCATGCACCCCCCATGACTGACAACCTCCCTGGTGGACGTCTGACTCTGTTTCCTTCTGCTTGCCTGTACCGTCGCTGTGATGGCGAGCCAGCATCTTCCACTTCCTGACCTGTAACAATAAGATCAATCATATTTTTCCATCAGGCCAGTAAAGTTTAAAACCAAATATGTGGAATAAATGCTTCAGTATTTCTGAGAAAGGGTCACGAGATTATCGGCAGCATCTTAACAGACTAACATATGTACATAACTGTAAGAGTGAGTTTTCCTCCCACCTCAAACCCCAAATGGGAGTTTAGAATGAACTTGTACTCATACTGTTTATGTCTTTTAATACACTTATTATACAGAAAAAATCTTATCAACATTAACCATCTACTTAAAAAACGCTATTGGAATCAGGTGTCAACTTTTATAGCATTGTTGGTGGTTTAGACCTTTTCAGATGAACTTCCTCCTATCTTGTCACAACTTGTCTCAGAGCTGATAACAGGTCTGTTTGGTTCATGAAAAGTTGATCTTCTGCAGGTACATGGTTAACAGAGTCCTTAACCTCATGCCTCCTCGTAACCTTTTCAGCTTCTCATTCCTGTAACATATGTCATCTATCTAATAAACGAGAGACTCATTCTTGAGCATTTTCATTATAATCATCATATTTCATTCAATGTCTTTATTATTGTTTTCCCTTATAGCTATAAAGTAAACTTTTAACCCCATGTGCCACTTGGGAGCAGATTATTTCAATATAATACATTGATTCAAATAATAATTTTGATTAAAGTTACCGATGAACAAAACCAAAATATAAGATAAGATAAGATACAACAGAGATAAAGGAAACAAATACTGTAGGTCGATGTACTTTAAGTTCTGGAGCATGCTTATATAAGTTATTCTCATTCTTTAAAAAGGTCAAATTTATTATAAAGCATTATCAAAATCAGCTATAAAATTGCTACAGCTACAGCTATGACTCTATGAGTAAAATATTTGAGGCTCATGTTCGCATTGCACAGGAGGCAGTGAGTGAGCCAAGCTCAGCCTTTGCAGTAATCTCCTCTCATGTGACCGCAGCACATTGACACACTCTCCTGAGTTTTCATCACAAACTCAATCATCTTTTAGCATGCGACTCACAACACCAGCACAGAACACAAAAGTACACACACACACAGAGGAGAGAGAGGAGGCGTGAGAGAGAAATATAAGATACATGGGACAATGGAAGGTAAGGTCAAGGTGCACATAGTTCTTGAGGGAAGTGAGTTGCACAGATGGATGTGTTAGTGACCCAGAATGGCTGTTATGTAAGGTAAATGGTGTCCTTGGCACACAGAGCGGACAGGTTCAGTAACTGCAGCCATTTCAAATGAGTTTTATCAAGGCCTCTATCAGTGGTTGCTCTTCTTCTGGGCCTCTACATTACCACAACTTGGCATGGAGAAATTTGTGTGCCTGAGATTGCCTGAGTATGTTTGTGTGTGTGTGTGTGTGTGTGTGTGTGTGTGTGTGCAAGTGTATTTGAGTGCAAACTTGCAACTCGGCAAAAAACTTTCCCTGTGTGTGAAGGGTTGTTCCCTTGACTGTAATTACAGTTCGGTGCTGGAAGGACAGAAAGGATCCAAACAATTACTGAAGGTGTCAAGTACAACATGATAGCATTCTGTCATAACAGTGTGTGTGTGTGTGTGTGTCTGTGTGTGTGTGTGTGTGTCTGTGTGTGTGTGTGTGTGTGTGTGTGTGTGTGAGCTGTTTTTATCCGTGTTACAGTGTCATTTAGTCAAAGTTGTGAAAACTGTATTACATTAACACATATTACTATTAAAATGGAATAGTTCCACATTTTGGGAAATACTGGAGGTAATACCAGCACCTCTAGACCTCACTCATGAACATGTTATATCTTGTTGGCTGTCATGCTTCAGTTTTTTTGGACAGACTAAACAAATGTAGTAAACATTTATTTATTCAACCAGTAAAAGCAATACGTTTACAGCTAGAATCAGCAATCACACCTTCAAAATAATAATGACAATAATAAGCATTTCAATTCCTAAAAGTTTTGTCCTAAAAATATTATCTGATTACTATAGTTCAAGCTTTTTTGCTTTGCTTTCATTTTATTACAACACAAATTGTATGATTTTGTTCTTCGTAATTTTTCACACCATCAATACAATACAAATTCACATCTTTTCACCTCAAATGCATATATGTATTTATGTATTTGTTTGAAACTTTGAATTATAAGTGAGCAAGAAAGAAAGTCTAAGGACAGAGAGGGGGTGTCTGTGAGTTTGTGTGTATACTGTTGGCCATAAAAGTTCTTAATCTAAGCAACATTTCATCATAGTTATGTATGTACAGACCCATAAACTGCTCCTTATTAGGCTGAAGCGTACATGTTTATCATGCAATTTATCATCCTTTATTGTATGGCCTCTAACTGAACCTTGTTCCAGAGAAGGAGCCATGCATTCTTTCAGTGGGTAAGAAAATATGTGCAGGAAATACAACACACACACACACACACACACACACACATATACAAATACCATGTCCAGACTCCCCCTCCTCTTAACCCCTTTTTCCTTGCCCTTTGACCTGGTTTTGTGCTACGACCTTTTAAGACAACAGTGTACCTGCTATTACTTAGGTTACATAAGGCTTCTCCTATAAGATCTGTCCTTTCACCTCATAAACTCAGGATGTAATATAGTCCAGGGAAATTCTCATACTAATCCCAGGATGTACAGATCAGCCCCACAGCCCCATAAATCAAGAAATAAAAACATCACATGCACCATATCCAGACTTCATGACCCTTTTCCTCTGTTGCCACCTCACTCACCTCTTCGCCCTTTGCCTCTGCCTGTGTTATATACAAATTATCTCTGAAAAACAAGGTTTTAATCTCTAAAAAAAGTTGTGTAACGTCTTCACCTAAAGATTTGCTCTTTACTCTCCATAAACAGTACAGTATAATAAAGCTACAGCTCAAAATAGTGCAGTCCTATTTGAGCTCACCACACACCTTGCACCTCACAGTATTATGATTTGATTTAGTATCGACTACACAGTATTATCAGTTGAGTTTGAGAGTAAAAACAGCCTTAATACCTAGGTTAGATTTAAGAAAGTACTCCACTGATTTAACACAGCTCTTCTATATCACTGTTGGATTTATGATAGGCAGTTAAAAAAGAAAAAAACTAAATTGATGCAGTGAAACCAGAGGTATGGTCTGTTTTATTCCATACATTCTTCTTCCTTGTCAAACCTCGCACCTACCCAGTTACCAAGAATGCAATCCAACCACCAAACAGCTGGGTCAGAGACTGAATGTGTTATGCTAGTAGCAGCTTATGAAGTTTTTACCCTAAAGCAAAAATAAGGAGCAGGCTACATAGTTCTGGTAAGCTCACTTCTTCCTAACTCCACACCCTTGGATTTTTTTTTTTTTTTCCAGATTTTCAAACTTGTCATCTTCAGCCCAGACCGAGGCTGACTCAATCGATGTGACTTGAGGCATTTTGCCAGATTGTGTGTAGTTACGTCTGGAGCCACAAAAAGCTTTAAAAAGGCTTCTTTCTTTTCTGTTTTTTCTCGACCTATGCAGTAGTAAACAGGTTTTGGTGTGGCAAATTGGTGGAGCTCACTTTAAGGTTATAGGGTTAGGTTTGAGTTCATGACTGTTTTCATTTAGTCACTTTACAACAATGGGAAGGCACTGGCTAATACCGGTTCTGGGTGGTGATAGCGTGGTTATGGATGATAACTGGCTAGCATACTGTAAACCACCTGGTAATAATCATTGGACATTGAACGGTAATAATTGACTGTTATAAATTTACAACCGAGCGATTAAGGTTTTGAAAGTGACTCAAGTATAACCAAACCAACAGTGAGTGAGTTGTTGCTTTTAGAAGTTTTAGAATTAAGCGAAACAAATACATTGAAAGAATTAAACAACAGAAGCTTACATGCTGCCAATTAGTACGGAATATGACACAATCATGTAGATCCCATTATAAGCTTCACTGACCTGGTATTTACAGCTGCTGAATTGTACTGCAAAACATTTCTGTTATTTTGCTCATACGGGACGGTATAAAGACTGTGCTCACAGCAGTGTTATTAGCCAGTCTACGCATGGCCTTCTATCCTGGTAACCCAGTTTCCGCTTTGTCCTTATCCCTTCCTGTCCTCCACCAGCTCCCCCTTGGTGCATTACGCTACCTCTAACAGGCTGTGTGATGTCCCACATATGTCTGAGCATCAAAGAGTAATGAAATGAGGGGAAAGCGAGAGAGCATCAGTGGGGGGAATGATAAAGTAGAATGAGGGAATAAGGTGCAAGCAGAGATGTGGAGACAAAGAAAAATATGTTTGAAAGACAAAAAGATAAACAGAGAGAATGAGAGCGCAAGATAGTCTTACATAAGCCATCCCATTCTCTGTCAGAGATAAGGCTTGCTTATTAACACCAAGGTCACTGCTCTTTCTTCTCCCTTTCTTTTCCCTCGCTTTTGTTCCTCGATCGCAAACACGGGTCTTAAAATGAATGAGCGAGGGGGAAAGTCAGAGCCCAAAGGGCAGAGAATCAAAGAACTATGATTCAGGCAGTCCAAATGGAATACAAACACCAAGTGTACAGAATCTCCCGTGGGAGATTAAGCCTCAGAAATACTGTTCAGAGTCAGCAACAGAGAAAGAGGGGGAATCAACCTGAAAAAAGAGAGCGGGTGTCTGAGAAACAAGACAGTAGGACGGAGGGAAAGATTGGGATATTGACCCTAAGCTGCTTTTGCGTTTGCAACCGCTTTCAACCTCTTGGGTCATACTCAGGCTTTTTTTCATCTTTAAATCCTGAGGAGCAAAGAGACAAGGTCCCTGAACCCTGACTTTCTAGCAAAACATTAATATTCATGGTCATCCAGTGTAACTCAACACATGCAAGTTTTGTTGGGAATTAAAAAAGCTTCCCCCTCCCTTGAATGTTTTTTCTGCATCTCCCATATTTCTCTCCCTCTTCCTCTTTTTCTCTCGTCTCTATAAACAGAAAGAGGAGAATGTATCCATGTGGCACAGAGCCTATTTACTCGC